CTTGGGAGAGAGGGAGGAGAGGGTGGGCTATAGTAGCTGCCAGATGCCTGGTGAGGTGAACTAAGGGTGCAATAGCTCATTCTGGGAAGGGAGTATGGATGGGGGACCTTTCCTGGCATAGGAGGAGCTGAGGAGTTCCCAGGGAGAGGCTACTCTGTATCAATAGAGTCACTGGGTACAGGCCTGGCAAGGGAAGGGGCAGGAAGCTGGTTCTGATAAGGTACTCGGGATGGTACTTGGTATGGCTAGAAGGTGCTTTTGTGGGGCAGGTGTGGAGACTGAGGCTCTGAGAAGGGCAGGGGCTTTACCAGAAACACACAGCAGAATAGTGGCAGAGACACCACCTTGCTGCCATTTGGAGCTCCTACTGGGGAGGCATGTGCCCAGGCTGTGCAGTAGAAAAAGGCACAAACTCTACTAGGTCCTCACTGGCTCCCACCAGGCTTCAGAGATGGGCCTTGTTTGAGCCCCTCTGGAGCCACTCATCATACTTAGTATACAGTGGCAGGGAACAGCACCTGTCCTGTGTAGGTATGCAGTGCTGTAAGGTCACAGCACGACATCAGAGAGGGCAGGACTAACTCAAGGTCACACAGCTAATACATGGTAAAACTGTGACCTTGTTCTCCATGGTCTGGATCTTCTCATCCCCAGCAGAGCCTCCTGGAAGAACCAGTCTCTAGCCCAGACTGCAAGCAGGAGGAAGAGGTTACCAGTGTTTGAGGGATCTGGGCTCTCTGGTTTCCTCCAACCCTTCCATCTGCCTCCCATCCCACAAACACCCAGGAACTCTGCAGATGAGCTGGAAACTTCTGAGGTTCCTTCAAAATGTATCATCTATATTTCAGACCCATGGGCTGGGTCTTCCCCAGTGGGCCTACCTTAGGCCACAGCAGCCCCTTCCTCATGGCTCCCACCCCCACCACTCCCTCCCAGTGTAAGATTCTGTGCTTTTCACTTTTCACCAAACTCCTGCCTGTCCCATAAAATCCAGCTCAGAGCTACAGAAAATGACCATGTACAAAGCCACAGAGGAAGTCACATCAAATTCCAAAGAATCTTACAGACCATAACCTCTGGCCATAATGCAATATAATTAGAAGTCAACAAGAAAAACACAAACCTCCCATAGGTTGAGAAACTGAAAAACACACTTATAAATCATCCAAGAGTTAATGAGAAAGTTGCAGTGAAATTTATGAAATATTTAGAACTCAATGATAAGGAAAGCACAAGAAATTTCTAAGTCATTTCCTCTGTGAAGTCAGTCTTGACCCCACGTTTCTCCTCCAGATGACTCTCCACCCTCCACCCAGTTTTACAACCCAAGGCGGCTGGCCTCTCTGGCCTGCAGCAATAGGTTCCCTTGTCCTTGGCTTCTGGGAGGATTTGGCTAATGGGGAAACCTGGCCAGAGAGGGGAGTGGGGGGGAGAGATGGGAGGGCCTTTATATGCCCCCTGTCCCTCCCTATATGACTGCCGTGGGCTGGGTCTTCCCCAGTGGGCCCACCTTAGGCCACAGCAGCCCCTTCCTCATGACTCCCACCCCCACCACTCCCTCCCTACTCCTTCAGCCTAGGGTTGACAGGCACCCACTGCTCTTGCTAGCCCTTTGGAGATACACTCTCCATGTGGTTTTCCCACACCCTGATGACACCTGTAAATAGTGCCTTCATTAAACTCTCCTCAAAATACCAAATTTGAGTGTTCCACATCTTCTACTCTTGGGAAGCCCATCAGTCCTTAGCTACGTTCTCACTTGTGCATGACTGAGTTCTGACCTAGTATTATCTGTTTATATTGTCCCCTCTGCTAACCTGTCAGTACCTGGGTCAGCAACTGGGTCAGCTTTGTGACTCGGTCCCCCTCGGTGCACAGAATCAAGCTCAAAGGTATTGATGAGGATATCGAATAAATAAAAGACTATATTTGAATTTTCTCCATAAGCGAATGTTTATGGGGATTTGGGGCAGAATTAAGACTCGGACATAAAAATACAAGAAACTTTAGACTGGGGTAAAAACAGGTGTTCAGTGAAAGAATGTATCCTCAGTTCTATGCATGAGGATTCCTAAGGATCCAGTGTTCTCATGCCATCAAGCAAGTGGAAAGTCCAACACAAAGGGAGCCAAGTGGGGTAGCTGTGCCATGGTAAATGCCCACCTCCAGCCTCTAGCTCTCCCCTACCCACATCTGGCCACCTTCCTCCCCTCCAGGGTGACTTCTACAGCCCAGCTATCTGCCTTGGTCCTCCTAGCCTAGAAGGCCTCCAATCTTCCCTCTCATCACAGACAGAGCAAGCTGGTCCCTGGGCCTGGGGGCCACAGTGTCCATTCAATGCTGGTGTGCACATCTGTCTGTCCTCAGGTGAGGAACCCAGGTAGAAAAGGAGGGAGAGCAGATCAGGTCTTAAAGGGTTTGGATTTGGCTGGAAGGAGGAAGGGACAAAAGGATTCCAAAATGGAAACACCTGGGACAAAGGTCTGGAGGTGAGAAATGGGGTGATTTGGGGTAGGAGTGAGGAGAATCATTCCAGTCTGAGCAAGGCCCCCTAGCCCTGGTGAAGGAGATGAAATCTGTGATTTGAGCACTCTTCTGGGCCAGTCCCCTCAGGAGTGAGGGACTCAGCTCATGATTCCCAAGGCTTCATTCATTCACTCATCCATTGGGGTTTGCGTTCCTGCTATGTGCCAGGAGCTGATATAGGAGTGGATAGGACAGTCCCGGTCCCTTATTGAGTTCAGGGACTCAGTGATTCCAGGAGAGGAGAGCAAGGTAAACCACTTATCTAGCAGTTCTTTTGTTTCTGCTCCAGACAGACGCTGGGCTTGTCCCCATTTTGCAGTCTAGGAATGAGAGGCTGCCTCCGGTGGAGGTCCAAAGAGACAACGAGAGGGCAGGTTGCTCAGTTTTTTGCCCAACGGGAAGCTGGGAGCTCGATAAGGACTTCCTGGGAAGGCGGGAGTGTGTCTGTGTATTGTGGGTGGGGGGTGCCCCTTTTCCCCGCCCCTGCCCGCCCTGCGGCCGCAGCGTGGCGGGGCCCGGGGCGGAGCTGGCGTCGCCTCGGGGCGGGAGGGTGGCCGCGGGCCGGCAGGGCAGGCAGGCGGAACCGGCACTGCAGGAGGCTGGCAGGCGGAGGGCGAGCGAGCGCACGGGGAATGGGACCCCGCGGCCAGAGGAGGGCTTGAGCGCTGCGGCCGCCCGCGGCGACCGGTGAGTGAGCGCCCGTGCCTCCCGCGGCCCCGCCGCGCACACGGCCCAGCCTTGCTTCCGCTTTCGTTCCTCGGCTGTCCCGGCGTGGCACGGTCCGGAGGCGACCTCTGCCCGCACGAAGGCAGGCTGGCCACCGTCCTCCGGCCGGGTCGAGGCTCCGAGCTTTGAAAGTCTGGGTTGGGGGTGTCCGTCTGCAGGGGGGCGTGTCTTCGGGAGCGGAAATGTTTTGCGGGCCGTCTGGGTCCTACGACCGACCTGTCTGGCCCTGAGAGCTGGTTTGGGGGTGCAGAAGGAGGTGGGGAGGAGGTTTGAGGGGAGGCCCTGTGCCTCGGGGGCGGGGAGAAGGGAGTCTTCGCCTCTGCTTTTCCATCTCTGGCCTGCACAGCGGCACAGGCTGGATTCTGGGGTCAATCTGGGGCCATCCTCTGGCCCAGATGCTGGAGGTGTGTCCTGGCAAGGGACTAAACATCAGAAACAGGCAGGGTCACCCTGCGGTCTTCATTTGGGAAGCCCAGATGCCCACCCAGGGAGTGAGCAAGCCACTGGCCACTCTGTGAGTAACAGGACATGCAGCATTAGGAAACGGGGCCAGGTGGGGGAACAGGTGGGTGAAGGCAGAAGTCTGTGAAGGTGAGGGGGTGGGGGCGTGGGGAGGGGAAAGAGGCCTGGATGGAAGAGCACCTGCCCTGTACCCACCCCTAGGCTCACACTTCCTGGGAGTAGACCCAGGCCTTGAAGTTCCACAGAAGGAAGGTGGCACTCTAGCTTACTGGTCAGGACACTGAAGTTGCTGTAGGGGTCAGTGTGCTGGGGGCAGGAAGCAGGCTGGGCTGTTTGGTGGGCAAGATGCTTCCCCTCTCCCCCCACTTCCCTCTTCTTCCCTATGTCCACCAGACCAGTGACCAGCCAGAGCAGGAAAATCGTTCTTTACTTTGTCAGGGGCTGAGCCCCACCAAATCCCAGTTCGCAGTTCTGCATGTAACTTGCTGTGTGAATGCAGGCTCCACAAGTCCCCGTTCTGGGCCTCAGTTTCCCCATCTGTATGAATTGAGCCTGTCAATTTCTCAGGGCTATTTAGGTCTAAGCTTTTCTTAAAGGCCCAGCACTGACTTTTTGCCAGGCCCTGTTCTAAGCTGTGGGTGGGGTGGGGACGCCAATGGCCACAGAGCAGCCTCCACCCAAGAAGGAGATCTGGGTTTAATAGGGGAGGATGTGGGAGGAGGTAGCGTTCAACCTGAGGATGTGTGGGCAGGCAGGCGGAGGGACCAGCATAAAAAAACACAGAGGCAGGGGAGTAGGGAACGTGTTCAGGGATCAGGAAGAAGCCCAGGGTGGTCAGTGTAGGGAGGTGGGATGTGGGGCAGGAAAAGTAGGGTGGTGTTGAATGTCAGGGTGAAGGCCTGTTTGTAACTGTCAGTAAAGGGGGCCATGCAAGGGTGGAAAGCCCTAGAACCCTAATTGCAGTATGAGTGATTCTGGAAGCACCTGCCCCAACGAGAGTTTAAAATGGAGATGGCAGGTGAAGTGTAGAAATCTCCTTCCTCTTTGTTCAGGAAGCACAGGGGACTTCTTTGTGTGGGAAGTTGGGGAGTTGGGATGGATGAAATGACCTTCTGTGTCTCTGAGGATTTTTTAAGAGGAAAAGATCCTGCCCTACTCTCCACACTCCTTTCATTTTCCTTGACTGTCCCTATCCAGTCTGCCTGTTGTGGGTACAAGGAAGGACCCAGGTTGCAAACATCTCCTCTCCTTGTTTGATTTGCTGCTAGAAGTAACCCCCCTGACATAGTGGCATGCCTCTTGTTATACCCAATTTTCACCTGGTTCCCACCCTCCCTTCTCCAATCCTGTCCCAGCATTACCAGAGATGTGAGAAGGGAAAATGCTCCAGTGTCTGCCAGTCAGAGGTCAGCCCCAGCCTTTGAGGCTGTATTCCAGGCTCACTGCAGGGCCAGGGCTCATACTTACCAGGGCCCAGGTCACAGTTCAGCCTGCAGCCAGAGCTCAGTGCTTCGATTACATTCAGCCTTGGTGCTCAGCCTGGGGCCAAGGTCAGTGCTAAATATGCAGCTAAATTCCAGTCTCAGCAGGTATCTGGGTCTGCATTTCCTATTGGAAATTAGCTCACAGTGGAGATAAGATAACCACCCTGAGAGTCTCAGAAACCTAGCTGTGTCAGAGTGACCCAGGATTTGCTTGGGCCAGATCCATGGTGCTGCAGGAGTCACCTAGTAAGCAGTGGTGGTGCTGGGACTAAGAACCCAGGATTCCTGTCTCTTAGTTTGGGTCTCTGATCGATGCCTCCCCACCCACCTCCCCCAGAGGTCTCTTCTGAATCTGGGATCCTTCAGTTCTACAAGACAAAACAAATTTGAACTCTAGATGGACCCAGCTGGGTAGATCTGACTATATTCTACCTCCCAGTGCCAGGCACATAGTAGATGCAGTAGGAATGTCTACTGAGTGTCAGGTGCAGGAGGAGGGGACAGTGGCTTACTCAGATTTGGGGCTGGAGGAGGCTGGCTTGCAGGGGAGGTCTCTCCTGCCATTGTCAGAGGAAGCAGTGCCCTTCTAGGCCTGCCGCAGCCCCCCTCCTCCGGTGCCTGCAGCCACACTCAGAAGCCTCCCAGCTGGTCACGTGAGGGCCTTTTCCTCTTTAAGGGTGAAAAAAAGGAAAGGACATTTTTGGTAAAAAAGTCCCTCCTGCTCCCTGGGAATCCCCGGTGGCCGGATGGACGGGATATCCCAGAGGAAGCCAAAGGCTGCGGCCCACCTCCTCCCCCCAGCACAATGCAGCCAGGCTCTCCCACGCTGCACCAGCTGGCCTTTCGGGCTCCCAGAGGTCATCTCATCCAGGTCCCTGTCTCCAGGGTCTGGATGGAGCCTGCAGGGAGCCTCTGAGATCTCTCTAATGGTGAGTCTGAGGAGCACCTGTTTGGAGGCCAGGCCCAGGCCTCGGCAAGATGCAATGAAAGCAGAGAGGAAACAAGATGGGAAGGCTGTGGGGGCTTGGCAGAGGGCACTGAGGTAACCTGGGCAGGGGGCTGGGCGCTGGACCGAAGGGCTGAGGGTTTGGATTCCAGGCAGAGCATGCAGAGGTTGAGCAAAGGCTGAGAGGTGAGAGGGGTGGGACGTTTTGGGAAGTCAGAGCCCAGTTGATGAGGCTCTGACCACCAGGCTCCCCCACACCCTTGTCCCTGGCATCCTCAGGTCTGAGCCCGTGGATACCAGCCCCAGGCCAGGCCATGGCACTGTGCCTGAAGCAGGTGTTTGCCAAGGACAAGACGTTCCGGCCACGGAAGCGCTTTGAGCCGGGTACTCAGCGCTTTGAGTTGTACAAGAAAGCACAGGCCTCGCTCAAGTCCGGCCTGGACCTGCGCAGCGTGGTGAGGCTGCCCCCCGGGGAGAACATCGACGACTGGATCGCGGTGCACGTGGTCGACTTCTTCAACCGCATCAACCTCATCTACGGCACCATGGCCGAGCGCTGCAGCGAGACCAGCTGCCCGGTCATGGCCGGCGGGCCGCGGTACGAGTACCGCTGGCAGGACGAGCGCCAGTACCGGCGGCCGGCCAAGCTCTCGGCGCCGCGCTACATGGCGTTGCTCATGGACTGGATCGAGGGCCTCATCAACGACGAGGAGGTCTTTCCCACGCGTGTTGGTGAGCACCACCTCGCCCGAGGGTCAGGCCTGGCCAGGGAGGGAGGAGCTGCTGGGAGCGCATGCCACAGATGAGGCATATAGTATGATCTGGCAACTCTTGGGGAGTGGATTTTTATCCCCATTTTGTAGAAGAGGAAACTGAGGTTGAGACAGGTTAAGTATCTTGCTCAAGGTCAAGCATTTGACTAGAACTGACTGACTCCCAATTTGGGGCTGTTCTTGTCCACAGCTTAAGTGTCCCCCTCAGGGACTAATCTGGCAACACCACAGACACTATGATTCTGAGAACCTTCCAGAACTGGTGCCCCAAGGTGTTCATGGCAGGTCTCCCTGCTTGGGCTGATCTGACCTCCAGCCTCCTGGGAGGTCCTGCTGAATCCTGATCCCAGGAAAGGGAGGCGTTTGGGGGTTGGGGGACCTGGATGGTATCTTCACTTCAGACTGGGACTCTGAGGGCAGAATTTCTCCTTGTCGGGCTCAGGCCATGGGGTCTTTTCTTATCTCAGCTGGGCAGGCAAGGGTGGGGAAGGGAGATGAGTGATGTCACCCTGGCCCTGCTTCACCACCCCAAGGCAGCACAAGGGGGTGTTGCTCAGGGCGCTGAGAAGGCATGACACTGTGTTCGTCAAGCAGCCCCACCTGCACCTGGGCCCAGCCCCCACCCAAACTCAGGCTCATCCCTGTGAGGCTGTGGGGATCAGAGATGGGTGGGGCAGGGGGGTCAAGCCCAGAGGGGAAAAGTCTGAATGCTGAGAGAAACCGTGCCCTGAGTCACAATACAGTGTCCACAGCTCCTCCCAGCCAGTGGCCTGCCATTTCCTGCACTGTCATGCCCAACAATGACTACCTTTATTTTACATAGAAGGAAACTGAGGCCAAGAGAGGGAAAGTATGCTGCATTGGGAGGGGTTCAGAACTGGAGCTCAGGTCTCTTGGGGTCAAGGACCCCAAGTCTAGATGGCCAGGGTGAGTCTAAGGGACCTGGGCTGGGCTGGAAGAGCATACAGGGAGGCAGGGCTCAACCCCATCTGAGAGCAGTGAGGAAGAGGAAGGGGTCTGTGGATCCAGGTGGGCCAGGGATGGACCTGACTCTGGACTCATATTCCCTGGTAGCCTGTGCAACCCCAGGGGCAGATGTCTTAACCCTGGGCTGACTCTGCCACAGCAGGGAGGGGGCATAAGCCACCGAGATCTCCATCCTGTGTATGGGGGGCTGTGCAGAAACTAGGCCTTTTCCACGGAGCCAGGGCTTCCTGCAGGCAGGGTCTGTATCATTGATCTCTGAGGGGTGCAATGAGGGTTTGAATCCTGCCTCCAGTCTGTACTAATTAGTAATTATGTGGCCTTGGGCAAGCAGCTTCATCTTTGTGCACCTCTGTCTTATCACCTCTAGAATGGCAGTCAGACCCATCAGCAGAATTGTCGTAAAGATAAGAGGCAGAAGGTGCAGAGGGCCCTGCATGGGGCCTGACTTATAGATGGAAGGTTCTCTGTGAAATTGAATATTTGAAGGAATGAGTGATATCTGAACTAGTTCTTGAAGAATTAGTATTTTTAGGATTAGGGGTCTGGGACTGCTGTGTCAGTGTTGAAAGAGGAGGGACTTGGGGTTGGGAGTGGTTGGAGAGGAAGGTCATAGTCATATCATAAAAGGCCTGTGCAGGGCCATGCTGGGAAGTTAGGATGCAATCCTGAAGGCCCAGGTTTTTAAGAACGGACCCAGATGTTGATAAACTCTACTTGGAATTGTATACAAGGGTATGATGTGAGCGGCCCTGCAGATGCCCACATCACTGGGGAGACTTTGGGTCACACTTCCATTGTAGTCTAAGAAGACTGGTCAGTGACCCCCAACAAGATTGCACAGGTGATGGGAAGATGTGGAAGATGAGGAGTATTTCAGCAGGGGAAGAGAAGCACAGTCACATGGGTGCTTCATTAAAAAGGAAAATGTGTGAGAAAGTCAAACCACCCTCTGCATCTCCCAGAGGGAAGTGTACTCAGAAGTATGCTGGGGGAAGCCATCCTGGTGGAGGCTGCCTGTGTGTGGGACAGCAGTGTTGGCCAGACTTTTGTCACCGAGATGCTGATCTCCCACTTCTGTCCCTCCCCGCCCTCTAGGAGTTCCCTTCCCCAGGAACTTTCAGCAGGTCTGCACCAAGATCCTGACGCGCCTCTTCCGAGTCTTTGTCCACGTCTACATCCACCACTTCGACAGCATCCTCAGCATGGGCGCCGAGGCTCATGTCAACACCTGCTACAAGCACTTCTACTACTTTATCCGCGAGTTCAGTCTTGTGGACCAGCGGGAGCTGGAGCCACTGGTGAGGCCAAGCCCCCACTGCTCTCCCCTGCCAAGACTAGCCTCTGAGCTTTCAGATCCAAAGGCTGCCTGCTTTAAGAAACTCCAATGCCCAAGTGGATAAATTCTGGGAAGGCAATTCATTTAACAATCGATTCTGTACTTTACCAGAGAATTCATTAGGTGTCATTGTACAAACCCAGATCTGCAGCCTAGAGTTGGGGTTAAGGGTGGGAAGGGGCAGGGTTCACGGAGAAGAGCAGCTGGGCCCTATGGTTTGGGAAGGGGCTGCCCGGCAGGCTGAGCTCTGACTGCCCCCTCCCCACCTTGTGTCTCTACAGAGGGAGATGACAGAGCGGATCTGTCACTGAGCCAGACCTGGACTTTGTTGCCCAACAGATGGACCATCTGAACACAGGGGGAGGGGAGCCTCAGGAGTCTGGTGGCAGAGGACTCTGAAGGCCCAGGGACCCCTCCACACACCAAAATCCTCTGGACTTCTGGTTCTCAGGAGTCTGCCTACATGTCCCCTGACCGATCGTGAAGGGAGAAGGGGAGGGCTTCAAGGTGGGCAAACAGAAGGAAAGGAGAGTTAAACCTCTTGCACCAAGTCGGGTGGGGTAGACTAAGGGTTTCTTCTGTGATGCTTGACCCTTCCATGGTGGTTTCCAGGGCTACTTGGGGAATGTGGATCTGGCCAAAGTGATGGCAAGAAAGGTACAAGAGAGTGAGCAACCCGTTGTGAGTGAGCACAGATGCCAGGGTGTGTGTGAGATTCTGACTGTGGGGTGATTCTGACAGATGGATAGATAAAGAGATGGGGACCATCAGACCATGACCATTGTAGGAGTGATGACAAGTCAGTGTTCACACTCAGTGTATGTGACCATGTGTGTAAGTGCACAAATTGTGATTGTACATGCAGTTCTACATTTGGACCTTCTAGACTACAATCTTCCATCAGTGTGATTGCTGGGGAGCTGGGGGGAGGTGGGAAGGGAAGCCTTTTCCTGACTTCCTAAAACTCTGGCCCACCACAGACACCAGGTTCTGATTCGCTCCCCAGAGATGTCCGAGAGCTCTCATTTCACTCACCCTTCTGTCTCTAGGAGGGCCTGATTACAGACAGCCTCCTGGGGGTTGGGGATGATCCTTCATGTCCACAAAGGTCCCGTGGCCCTTAACTGGGAATTATAGACTCCACTCTAGCACCCAGAATCTATAGACCTGGCTCCTCCAATTTGAAGCCCAGCACAAAATAGTCCTTCAGCTCAAGGAGGTAGTGGAACTTCAACTGGAAACTCCAGAGTCTTGTCTCCCATCTCGGACATTGAGGATCACATAGCTGGTGAATGGACTCTTCTAGGCTTGGAAAGCACCCATCTTAAAAGTACCTGCCTCCTTCCCACCCACCTCTGAGAGGTTCCAGCTGGTTGGATCTCAGAACAAAGCTGTCTCCAGAGAGACTGGGATGTTCATTCAGCACACCGTTACTCAGTACCTCCGTGCCCAGCCTATGCCCACACCCACAGGTGGTGAAACTGAGGCAGGAACAGGGTTCTGCCTTCCCAGAGCCTCCACTCTGGGAGTCCAGGGTGGAGAGCCAGGAGGGACCTGAGATCATCCAGTCTGGCTCTCATAATGTACACAGGAGGAAACTGAAGCCAGAAGAGGAGGGAGAACCTGTCCAAGACTTTACAGTGAGGCTTTCATGAAACTGGAATAGAAACCAGGAATCCTGACTTCTACTCTGGAGCCCTTCGATTGCTACACAAAGATGCACTGGAAAGAGTTTGACAGACCTACTCCAGGACACAACTATTCCTGCTTTGAGCAAAGATTTCTAGCCTGATGCCAGAATGCCCCACTGTCCCTTGGGTTGCCTGGGGTTGTCTCCTGAGCTGAGCCTCCAAAATGCCAAGCTCGATGGCCTAGATTCTGCCTGTCCTCTGGGGAAACAGATGAGGCTCCTGGGGCCAGCCAGGTGGGCCTGGGACTTCTACCTCTGCTGCCTCCAGGTGGACTGGCAGCTTTGCCAGAGGCTCTGGAGTGAGGAGAGTTGAAGCGTCCCCTAGGACGGACTGTGGCTTGCAAGATGGATTCTAGGCTGTGGAGAGGGCTGATTGTGGGGAGGGGGAGTGGGAAAATCTATTTTTATGAAACAGAGGGAAGACTTTATTGTTGTTATTTTTGGTAAAATAAAAGAGGCAAACTAAAGCAGCCACTGGTGGGAAGCTGTGGTCTGGGTGCCACATGGCTCCTGGCAGACTGGAAGGAACAGGGCCAGCGTGGGGATGGGAGGGCTTTTTGTCTTGAGATCCTAGACCATGTGGCAGGTTGGTCAGTGTGGTCAGGTCTGGCTCAGCTCTCTAGGGTGGGGACTCCAAGATTTTCTTAGGGCTCTGGGAAGACTAGGCTAGACTATGACCCTTGGGGTGGAGAGGGCTGGCCCTTGCCTTCTGGAACTCTGATGGGAAATCTTTCCCTGTTTCAGCTCAGATAACCTGGCACTGGCTATTCTCATCCCACCCCATTAATCTTGGTGGTTTTTTAGAGCTACAGTGGCAATACAGTCCTAACCCTAATTACAGGAGAGGAAGCCATGCTCAAGAGGAAGCTACTGGCCTGGTGCAGTGGCTCACACTTACAATCCCGTTGCTTTGGGAGATCAAAGTGGGAGGATCGCTTGAGTCCAG